TCATTTACAGTACCTGCAGAACTTATTTTTGCATCATATCTTTTACAATCTGACCAAACATTCTCAATTGGGTTAAACCGGCAACGATATGAGGCAATCTCAATACTCTATGACCATGTTGAAGTGCCAGTACATCTAATCTGTAGAATAAAACAAATTAATATAATCCTATTTATTAAATATATCTTAACACATACTTGAAAACTTTATCTGGTAAATGTTTTTTTACCATCTCCAATAATTCAAGTTTCATCATGGTTGTTGAAACACGTAATATGTTTCCTTTTTAACCGTTCTACTATAGAGTGTTAAGTCTAACTTGAGGTTGGTATTTTTTTCCATTAAACTATAGTGGTAAGGTTCATTGCCCATAATTATTAACGACGGTTCTTCTAAATTTGGCAAACGTTGATATTCAAACCATTTTTCAAAATTTTCTGCATTCATCGAATCATGATAATCTCCAGTTTTTTTTTCACTTTTCAAAAGTGAAAAAAAATTTATATTTTTATATTCTTTAAAAATTGTAATCTTTTATATGCCACATGTTATTTTATTATCTATTAGATATTTTCGATTGATATATGCAGTTTAACCATCTGAATTTCATATCTTTTAAAACCCTACTCAGTGAACTAGTAGAAATGGTAATTTCAACTATGTTCTTCAGTTTTTCTTGAAGGGTATGAAAGGTAAAATGTTGGCCTAAAATGAACAAGAAAAATGTAAAGACGCTAGTGATATTTCAGTAGGTTATGGAAAACTATATTTTGATACAAACCTTTACTAAACATTCGGTATACACGAGTTCAAATAACATGTTCATATTTATTGGTTAATGAAGGTCTTAGATTATCACATACTGAAGTACTCATTGCCACAGAACACAGAATAGCTAGCATCTGTTTGAATGCCTTCATTTGCCAATCGTCTTACTGTTAGTAACGAAACTCCTAACGCCTCGGCAACACGCTAAAATGTATAGTATTTAAAATACTATTAATATTTGACAATAATTTAAAACTTACTTCACGAACGGCAGAAACTGGTAATAAAATTGTCCCAGCCCTCTTTTTCTAATTGAAAATAATTTAATAATTGTAATATTAGTCTTTGTTCTTTCTGGGTATATCTCGGTATATTTAAAATATTTTTATGACAATAAATACAAAATTAAATTTTCACTGTAAATTGTCTGAAAATACTAACATGGATGACAATTGAAGACTCGAGTGGATAAAGGAGGTAACTAACATTTTTTGAAAAATAGACTTTTCCACACGGTTGAAAGGGGCAAGTGACAATCTAGTATATAGCACCGACTTCAACGCAAAAATATAAAGAAATAGACAACTTTCAAAACCATAAAAGGGGTAAGAGACATTATTTTAATTAGCGTGCACTTTAAAAGAAATATTTTTTCTTAAAAAGTTTAGTTAGTTTAGTGGGGTGTTAAATTTATAGTGATAATGTCGTTCAGAAGTAATTTAATGTTGAAAATGGCATTAGAGTTGTCTGGTAAGTAGTAGAATAAGCTTTTTACTGAGTGCTGGTATACATAACCTGACATTTCAGAAAACCTGCATGAAGTATCTGAGCAACCGTTGAATGCTTTTGAAGTATCTGATTGAAAAGGTATTAGGTATTTTTTAATGTATTTAGATGTGTTCGAGTATCATTTATTGTTATTTATTGTAGAATTAGATGTTAATATTGGAGCACTTGCCTCTGGTGCATCAGATACAACTGTATGTGAAACCGTAGCTGCAGAAACACACAATACATTGGACAACCCAGAACACAAATTTAGGTGAAATCATAAGTTGTTCGCAGCAACAAACAGGGTATAGCAATATTGAAGAAAGTATGATGCATGAGACCTCAAAACATTATTTTCTGTCATTTAATACTTATTATTTGTTGCAGATGTTTTCGCCGAATTGGAAAATGACCTGTTCAGCGCCAGCTATGAAAGCGATTTTTTACCCAGTTCTAGTGATACGACGGACACAGATTCCGACAATTATTGTATAGCAAAACGATCGAAGATAAATACCTTATCAGCTCTTCAACAAAATAAAAACAACAAGGAAAACGTTTTTAATGATCTATCTAAAAAGAAACAAACAGAATTTAAAAGAGTAGAAACAAAAGCAAGAAGGAGATCTAGTGATCCAAATTTATGGAAAAGAAATACTGCAAGTAAAGCTAGACAGCTAGGTCAATCGTCATAAATCAAAAAGAAAAATAATACAATGTAAAAGTGTAAATGTTGGTTTACTTTGTAGTCAAAAATGCAAAAAGAAATGCAATGATAAAATCCATTTAGAACAAAGAACAAAAATATTTTCTGGTTACTACCAACTGGCAACTAAAGACATGAAAAATATATATCTCTTTAAGAGTATGAGTTTTAAGAAACCAGCAAGGCCAAAAAAATGCAGTTCGTAGCAGGTCTGCATCTTTTATTTATAAAATTTGCATTGATACTACAGAAACATTTGTTTGTAAAAAAGCATTCTGTTCTCTGTGTTTGCAAAAGAGGGAAGCATGAAAATAGGCCACACAAAATTCCAGAAGACGTAAAATTATATATTATGGAACATATTAGCTCGTTTCCTGCTACCCAGTCGCATTACTCCAGAAACAAAAACCCGAATAAACAATATCTTGCCTGTACATTAAATATATCAAAAATGTATAGAACTATAGCTTGAAAAATGCACTGAGGAAAATAAACCGTCTCGTTTTCAAGTAAAATACTGTGCCTATAGCAACATATTCTCTAAAGAATTTAATTTATCATTTGGTGAACCTCGCAGTGACACTTATAGTACTTGTGACAGTGGAAACGCTACTGAGCAACATAAGGAAAATTACGAGGCAGCTTTTTCTATACAACGTGCAGATCGTGAGTATGCAAAAAACAAAGATGGAGTATGTTATCTAACAATGGATATGCAACAAACACTTCCCCTTCCTAAATTAACAACTAGTAAGGCTTTTTATCTTCGTCAGATGTAGATGTATAATTTAGGGGTACATTCCATTACAAAACTTTCAGAAAAGGCTAACTTTTTTACATGGACTGAGGATATGGCTCTTAGAGGAAGCTCTGAAGTATGTAGTTCATTACTAACCATGTTAGAGTACAATAATATTTTTCAAGATAATGCTATATCTCATCTGATAATATGGACCGACTCTTGCGCAGGTCAAAATAAAAACTTCTTGATCATATGTCTCTATCAGTACCTTATACTAAAAGGAATTGTAAAAACTATTAACCATAAATTTCCTGAGGTTGGACATAGTTTTTTAGACTCCGATAGAGATTTCGGACGTATCGAAAATGTATTACGTCGAAATGAAAATATATTTTTACCTGAGGAATATAGAACCATAATTACCCAAGCAGTAAAATAAATCATGTCATAGACATGCGTATACACTTTCGAAAATTTGACGATTTGGCACAAAATTTAAATTTAATTAATCGCAAGAAAAATACTTTAAATGAAACTGTCCCATTTCGAGATGGAATAAAATGGATTCGTGTTTGTAATTATGGATCCTATTTATATAAAGAGAGCTATGATTCAAACACACCTTTTTAAGAGGTAAATATAATTAGGAACTCGCGTCAGACCCAACCAGTTGATTGCGACATTGAAAGAATTAGGGAAAAAACTGGCCCGTTATCTACTGAAAAAGTGGCAAATCTCAAGAGTCAGCTTTAATTTGTCAAGCAACTCTATAAATTGTATTATAATGCGATTATTAGCGAAAATGAACAGAACAATAACTAATAAATTAACATTTTTTATTGAAAACCTGTTACCACTTGACGTTTTAAACAGAAACTTATTTGTTTTACAAATAGAATTAACTTTTTTTTTAAATAAAATGTATGTATTCAGCTCGTTTATTCTATTTTACCTTGACTTAACACCTTTCAAAGAAAACTAGTAGTTATTGTAAAAAAAATTTAGTGGATAAAGGAGGTAAGTGTAGTTTTTTTTTTCAAAATTTTGGGTTTTTAAAACAAAAAGCGAATTAACAAAGTTGCACACATAAAATGGAACATTAATATCTACTCACCGAAAACATTTAAAACAAAACGCACAATTACATAATGCAACTTCAACATGTTTAAAAATTAAAACTTTAATCGGCTTTTTCCCCATTGTATAATTTTGTTAGTTACCTCCTTTATCCACTCGAGTCTTCAATTATCATTTTATCAGTTGACATTGTGAAAGTACTGTCACGATCGAGACCATCTGCGTCAAATTATATTTATGCGCATCATTGATTTTATATCTATTTAGCGTAATCTAAACTCCAACCAATTATATATCCGTAAGTATAATTCGCTTTAATATGCAAATAGCCGTGAACGATACATACTTTTCTATGTATAATAATCACAGACTCATTCTGTCGCTTCTAGCTTAATGCGAGAGAGAATTCGATCAACTATGACGCACTGAAAGAAGGGTTTGGGAAGGACTTTAGAGCGAATGTTAGAGCGGGAGATATCAATAGAAGAACAGTTTGGCTTTATGCCAGGAAAGAGGACAACGGATGATTTGTTTGCTGTGAGACACTTGATAGAGAAAAAAAGTGGAGTAGGAAAAAAATGTTGGAGGATTGGAGAAGGCTCTTGAAGGGAAATGAATTAAGGCTATCAGGTCGAAAATGGAGTATATGTGGTTGGGGGACATCAAATTGCTTGGGAAAAAACTAGGACGAGTAGAATATTTATTCAAATATCTTGGCTCCTACATAACGGAAATTGGACACCAGATCGAGAAATTGCCCATATGCTACAGGCTGGTTAGTTTACCCGGAAGCGAACGAGCGGTGTACTCTGTGACCGAAAAATCGGTGAAGGGCTGAAAAGAAAGAAGAAGAATGAACACATATATAATAATATGGATAATGGTTTAGACATTCATTTAAAAGCTGCAATGGATGTGGCTAATAATAAAAGGAAAACCAAAACAAACCTCTCTTTATTGTCAAAAATAGTCAATTATAAACATTCTTTATATTATCGGTAGTGTTTTTTAATGAGTAACCTAATTATTTTAAAGTAATTCACATTCAAATGTTTGTTACATCCAAAGACGTAGTTATAAGAGCTAAACAAAGTCGTGCGCTTATTTCGGTCTAACTTAATATGTTTGGCCTGTGAGAGAAACCTATTCAAATAGTTTGTATGAAGATTACCATCTTTATACTTATACAAACCGAACACAAACATATTCAATAATTTATACCAAAAATTTTTTTCGTGAAGTACTTTTTTAGGTATTTTCTTTTTACTATCCACCAGTCGGTCTAATTTATGTATTTTTCTTTTTAAAAGTCTGGGATCTATATTACAATTATTTAAGATATCCATTTCCTTTTGAAGAAAATTGATAACAACGTGCGAAGGCATGGACATTATCAAATGTTTAACGGCTTTGACATCAAGATCTTTGTCATCATCTGGTAATTTAAAATGATTATTTACTTGGTTATCAAAATTAAGTCTCATCTGAAAAATTATTTCTTTACAAGGAATATTTGAAGGTTCATTTGAAACGCGAATTGTAACATTCGGGGGAGTAAAATTATTAATTATTGATTGATTTGGTAACGTCATTGGCATACTCAATAATGAAGGTATTTTGGAATGTTCGATATTCTCATTACTGGAAGATTGCTCGCAGACATTAGCAGATTGATTTCCAGAGTCTGAAGATGTAGATGTAGCTGGTATATTTTGATGATACCTTGATGATGGTTCTTCAGGCGGCATACCTTTGTTGTGTTCTAAAATATCTTCATAGCTCATTATGTAAGGCGAAGTAGTGGGAAAACTCCGGATATTCTGATTGCATTCGTGTTCTAAATGACCTTGTCTTGCGCAACCAGAACACCATTGCTCATTTCGGGGTCTTGTAGGTAGACGAGATATGACCATGGGTCCTTCATCGGTCTAAAAAGATACAAATTTTAAACTTAGTAAATGCACTTTGCCCAAAAAACAAATATTCTAAGTAAACAGACCTCAATGTTTTTTTAAATCATTTATAGTATGCAATCAGATTATTACTGCGGTGAGATTACTAAACGTTTAACCAATATAATAGGACACTTCCATCTATTAGAAAATAATGTCTATATTAATTAAAATGAATCGCCAAAATGTTTGTACGGGCATCACCGAACGACTGCACCAAATTAGCTAATTCTTTTTTTGTGTGTTTGTTATTATCAGGAGAAGGTTTGTGTAAAAGATAATTTTCAAAAAATTGTACGGAAAGACTTCAAAAACAGTTTTTCTGTCATTTTAAATCGTAATAAAATTACCAAAATAAATGTCAGTATTGATAGATTGGGCAACACCTATACCATACTGAATATATTGGTTCTCTTTCGATTACCAAAGTCAAGCTATGTCGGTTGCGGTTTTTATTTGGATGGGTGACAACTTGGGAACACCACATGTCGTTTCAATGCGAAACCTTCCTTCTCCGAAACGGCGGGACCGATTTTGATGAAATTTTACATGTGTGAACGTTGTGTGAAAATGGATTGCAAGCAATAACTCATAGAAAGAAGCCTCTTCTTCTTCTTTTTATATAGATATGACTAACATCCTTTTTGTCCTCTCTGTGTCGGGTCTTGTTTCTGCAGCGTATGTCATTATTGGTTTGATGATTGTTTTGTAAATTCTGCCTTTCGTTTCTTTCCCGATATTTTCTTATAATATTAGAGCAATATTAATAAAAAAATCAGGAAGAAATACTGCAAGCCAAACTGCTGCCGAGTATTAGAGACTTGTTTGAAGTGGATGATTAATAATGCATCTTGCAGCAGGAAGTATTGCCTTGTCGTACAGCCAAGACTTCCATGGAATGGTTGAGAAACCATGAAGTTACTGTCCTACCTTGGCCTGGAGATAGAATCAAACTAAATCCAATCGAGAATTTGTAGTCAAGGTTGAAGGCTGGTTTGTAGGTCAAACCCAAGTAACCAGAGAGAACTGAACGCAGAACCAAGTCTGTGCTAAAAAAACAAAGGCTATCTCACCAAATAATAATTTTCTTGATAATAACCATTGTGCCATGTTTTTTAAAATATGCTAATAGGTAACGGCTGTTGGTTGATTCATTTTTAAATTTTTGGACGGTTTGTTCTTTTAAAATAGACGTTATATATTAAGTACAAGCATAGAAAGGTGTAATAAAATTATACATAATCATGTAAATAACATAAGTCGTGTGAAAAAGATGAATGCCGCAAACAAAAGCAATATTTTTGAAGTTTCCACAAATTTGGCCATTAGTTTATATTTAATCAGGTGCAGAAAGCAGAGAGGTAGAACACTGAAATGTTTGTTAAAAATATCTATAAACAATATTATAATGTATTATTATTTTCATGTTTAATTACACCAACTTCAAATACAGTATATCTCACACAACACAGTACAGTATATCTGACAGTATGATGACAGTTATAGATAGATAATAGACTTTCTTAGTCTAGAAATTTATACATTTATATACAACATTACACAAATTTATCTGACTAGTCAAAAATATATATTATGTTATACAAAAGTATACACACATTAAAAGTAAAGTACATTAAAAATTACATTAAAAAAATACATTATAAGACATACATTAAAAATTTAAAAATTCTTCAATACTGCAAAAAGCATGGCTAACTAGAAATATTTTTGGATTTTGTTCAAAGCATTAATAGTGCCAAGATGCATCTTATGTGTCACCGCATGTCACTGAACTTATTCCCAGGTGGAAAAACGCTTACGAGTATGTTATCCATTAGGCGTGTGTTATGTGGATGTAATCAGCGTTCCTAAGGAATGTTTGCTCATGTTTTTTATATACATTAGTTGTAAAATAAATAGGCTAGAAAGAGTTAAGATGTTAGCTTTTATAAATAGTGGCTAACATGATGTAGTTTGTGATATTTTACATAGTTCGTAGTATTTTTTTGAGATATAAAAGCTATTCATATATTGGGATGAGCCCCAAAATTAAGCAGTACTGAAGGACTGACTGCACCAAGCCATAGTACATTAGTTTTAATATATGGAAGAATACAGTATCCCTTATATTCCTAATTACATAACAACGACTACTTAGTGTCGAGGTTACTTTAAGTGATCTTCCCAATCTAGCTTTGGATCTAGCATCAGTCCTAAAAATTTTATTACTTACAGGAGCTATATTCTTTGGTAAAAATCTCATAAAACTGGTTTTTGTTATATTTAATTTAAGGCCGTTGTCTTTGCAATACTTACTAAATTCCTGAGATGCTGTATTACCTGCTAACAAGCTGATCAAACTGATAATGTAATATAATAAAGCTTGTATCATCTGCATATTCAATAATTTGATTAGGAGTAGTGCAAACTTGGTTGATATCGTTGATAAAACAATAAAGAAGAAAGGACCCAGAACCTAACCTTGTGGTACTTCCACAGAAGACTTCATTGGGTCCGATAGTGTACCATCTAATATTATTGTTTGCAAACGATTTGACAAATATGTGCCTTACACCTCTTCTCGTGCAACTCCTATGCTTTCGATCTTCATCAGAAATGTTCCTAGGTAGCTTGTTAGTCTTTCACAGAATGCCAGTACAAACAACTTTGCAATCTGACTGGGTATACAAATCAAACGGTAATTCTCAATATTACTTGCAGAACCTTCATTATTAAAACTTGGAAATCCCTTGGATTCCTTTATATTGGGAAATTGACTTGCCGTAAAAGATTTGTTGATTAAATGTGACAAGGGTTCACATACGTGACTGGCAACATATCTTATAACCTCACCATCTAAACTTTCAGCATGTTTAGATGTGGTCTTACTTATAAGTGACAGTACTTCTGCAGGTGTAGTTAGAGAAAGAAAGTCTTGGAAAATTGATCAATTTTCAAGAGACCATTTGGAGTTGAGTTATTATTATTTTTATATTTTCATTGTCATTTATTTTAATAGTATTTGCTAATGTAGGTTTATTTCTAATTTGATTATTATTGATGATTTTTCAACTTTCTTTTATCATGTTGTTTCTATTTTCAATACGTCAATTATTTTTTTGTTTTAAATACTCTTGTTTGGTTAGTTGATATTGCCTTTTAAAAGTATTTTATCGTTCTGTATATAATTGACTATTTAACCTTTTTCGTAATACGTTCATTTCGCACAGCATATTATGCATTTCTTTGATGTGATTAGGAAACTTATTTTTGCTATACAATTTGGCTGGTTTTTGTATTTTAGGAAGTATTGTGTTATAATGATATAAAAACGTTCCATAAGATGTTGATATTTTATTGTTGAAAGTGATAAAGTTTCATACATAGACACGCCAAACACCAGATCCAGATACACGTCTACACACAGCCGCATCAAAATTGACTCACCACAGGGTGAGATTTATTGCAGAGAATGCAACATGATCATCATGTAATCATTCAAGTATATGTCTACAGCCGACACCCCAAAGAAATCATTAATATCTAAGTGAGGGCGCCCACCAATATGGTGTGGCAAGTAGTAAGTATCACGCGTCTATAGAAAATGTCACACTGAGAGTGCAGTACGGGTAAGATACGGCAGTGCTTTTCTTATGGAGAATAAACGCGCAGGTTGTCGGTTTTCTCCAGCTGTTGATTGCTCATTGTCTCACAGGACCGGCTTGGATAAAATGCATCTGCCAGCAGTACGAGTAAAATATTTTATATCATGTATACGTATACAGTAGAATAAAAAGGCATTGATGAGTTATTGACAACGAAAACCATGAATTTTGCATGTAAAACGTCAACACGAGATATACAATTGAATCATATTCATAAGGGTAACATTTGAACACCTCTTTACAAGAACAACATACAATAACTGTAGTTTTAATGTTTTACATAAAATAGAAAAAACCTACATACTTTCTAGGAAAGAATTTGGAAACTTGGAAATGATATTATTTATAGATATTATATATATAATATTCAAATTTCCAATTCTTTCATAGAAATTAGATTTTTTCTATTGTATGTAAAATATTAAAAATACAGTTATGTTGTTTCTATAAATAAGTCTTCATTTCTTTTGTAAAACTTCTGCTACAAATTAACATCATTAACATAATCACCTAAATATGGCCATAAACTTGTTTGTCATAATTAGTATTTGATAAATTCCAACCTTTCCCTATTTCACCCCCTACCCATCCTAAGGAAAGTGTTTTTGGAAAACGAAACTACACTTCAAAATTTAGTCCGAGTTTCAACAGAGAGCATGGAGTCCCATAAGTTTAAATCCGGTGAATTATTTAACGGTTGCGCTAAACTCGTAGTGTTAAAAAATGTGTTGTGTTTTTTACAAAATACGGAACAACTTAATGTAAGTGCTGCTGTAAGACGTACTTCGTTGATGACTGGTGTTAGCGAAAGAAGCATTTACAATTTCAAAAAAGAAAAAGAAAAGAGTGCAACGTTGAAATCGCAAAAAAACGTAAAAAACGAGTGTGTCAATCAAATTCTAGAATATTCACATATGACGAGGGTGTAAGAAGTATTCTACGGAGAATTGTTCATTGTGAATTTTTCATGAAAAATTTGCCTCCATTCTTAAAGCATATACATAACTTCATACAAGGTAATGAGAATATACAGCCGTTGTCTCTTTTTACTTTATACAGACTTCTGAAAGATATTGGATTTGTTTATAAGAAACGGGGCCGAAAAAGCATCATGGTGGAGCGAGAGGATATTATTCATTGGCGCCATAATTATTTGAGAACTATACGACGTTTGCGAAAAGACCATTGCAATATCATATATTTGGACGAATCGTGGGTTAATATTGGCCAATCTAAAAGGTTTAAGTTTAAAAGGTTTAAGTATTGGCTTAAAAGCACCTACTAAACGAGGTCCACGATATGTTTTATTGCATGCAGGTTTTTCAGGAGGTTTCCTTCCTAGCACACAGCGTGTTTTACTGGCAAAGAAAAATGATGGCGACTATCACGATAAAATAGATGCATATTTTGAGTCGTGGTTTAAGGAGACATTAATATCAAATTTACCAAATAATGGTCGCAGGAATGTCATTGTAATGGACAATGCATCGTACCAACCATCGTATAAACCTTATACCTGCTCATCTGGTCAAGTGTGGGCAAGGAAAACCATTATCCCATATGGAATAACACAAGGTTGCTATGCCAAGGAACTAGGTAAACTTATGTTGTGTGTAAAAAATGCGAGACTGCATTATGTTTTAACAAGGACAAAAACTGCACTTCAGATTTCCACAAAAAAAAATTCATAGTAGGTGTTAAAATTTCGCAGTGATTCAAGTGCGCAACTTGTTTTTTTTAATAACATCGCCAGGATTAAAAAATGTGCAAAGCTTTTACGATATTCCCGTTCCTGATAATTTTTCACATATTTACAAAAGAAAAAGTTTTTCTTGGATATTGGGCTGGGTGCACGGAAATCGAGTTACCGGAGGTTCCACCCGGTATATTTATAGCTATCAAGAAATGTAATTTAAAATACATTTGTTAGTTTAATAAAGTATACAGTTTTATAATAAAATTCTCGCTAAAAACTTAAGGTCTCTTTATTCAAATTCGTGTCTCTTATTTGGCTACTTGAAGGCAATTATTTTATCAATATATTATTTTATAATAAATAACAGAGCCCGGCGTAGAGATCTGGGTAAGGTTCTGTGACTACCACTTGGACCTGTTTGTATCGCCAAGCACAAGGAGTGAAATCCGGCAATTGTGCATTCCTATATTAGCCGTACTGCACTCTCGGTGTGACATTTTCTATAGCATGTTACTTAAAATGTAACCAATGCAAACGAATGATTAGAATGAATGACGTCACTGTCATTTTGGTGTGCGGTGAATCATTCGTTTTCATTGGTTACATTTTAAGGAACATGCTAGACGTGCGCTACTTGCTACTTGCCACGCAAGTTTGGTGGACGCTCTCCCTAACAAGAACCCAATTTGGGATTCGTGACGCTCTAGGAACAGAGATGCTCCTTTTGTCATTTGTCCAAGTATTATTTCATATGCCTTATAGATTATTAAAAAATCATTTGCGATTGGCCACAAAGACCTGAGAATTATCAGAAACATTAAAATCAAAATAACTACATCAGTTAACTTGTAACGTTTCAATCAACCGATTGAACGTGACACCAAACTCCGCTCGGTACTTGGCCCCCGTACTATAATATTCCTAAGCGACCTCAATACATTATAAATATTTTAGCAGCCGTGCTACGCTATATAAGCCGATACGAATCTTTATTCGTTATTTTTCACTCTACTACAATCGCTACAATCATTCTTAAATTGGTTAGTGTCTTGGCCGTATAAACGGGTAAGTTTTTCTTCTAGTTTTAGGCCTGTTTTTTACTCGTTTTATTTTGCGGGGCAGATACTTTCTTTCATAAAATAAAGCTGAAATCATTTTAACTTTTATTGTTATTCTTATTGTATATATATACCTATTTTACCTTACTTTCCTTAATATCTTACTAATAAACATCTTTTCTTACAAACTTATTTTTATTAATGCCACGCTGTGATCAGAGATTTTGCTAAGATCGTTTCTCTCTGAATACTCAGCTTTATTTCTGATCAGGCTTTTCTTTTGGGAGAGAACTGATCTTTGTTTGAATTTTCTAGCTACTACCGTGGGAGCAAGAAAACAGCCAACCGCAATACCTTGGGCAACATTCAGCAACTAGATACTAAGCCATTGATGCTTCAGCACGGAATATGAAATCCCTTTACTAATATGGGAAGAAAACTACCATTATGTAGACCAACAACTCTCCTTAAATCCACCGACAGCGGCTAGATTCAACAGGGATCGGAACCCTTCCTGAAGACCCTTCTTTGGGTCACAGTTTATTTATCTTTGTTTCATATTCTTAATATAAATGTTGTTTGTTTTATTTTATAAATAAATATATATCTTTTGTTATGACTTAGCAAGTATTTTTATTTCCTGTACCTTTCTGAAATTGGTTTAGGGGGAGAATGAACAGGGAACGAACCCAGGGCTGAGTAGTCGGGCAGAGCACCATTCTGGTGGACGGAACGGTGGGCATTTTTGTCTTGAATATCCTTAGGGATATTCGAAGAATTTCTCCCCTCGTTTCTTCCTACCGTATGGTGTTGCTTACCGCCCTGGTCTTTATAAGATTAGACGTTACAAACTGATAAATTCAAAATAGAAGACGGAGTACGACAGAGATGTATTCTTCCCCGCTATTAAATATTTATCCTGAATCTGTCTTTAGGGACGCTCCAGTAAGGAATATTAATAAATGGTGAATGGGTGAATAACATCAGATACACAGATGACAACATAGTCTTTGCAGATAATCCGGACAATTTACAAACATTAATGAATCACATAACGGAAGTCAGCAATATATACGGGATAGCATCCTAATATAAAGAGACCAAATTTATGACAATTAGTAAACATGCAATCCTAATGGACAATAGACCAAGTTCGAATTACTGATATCATCGAAAAATCTTTAGAAGAAAGAAAAGTTTCCATTGTAACCGTAACTCTCAACAAACTACGGATGACAACCTTATTTTTCATTATACATTCTGCTGATATTTGTCCTCGTATCACTACTTTACATTTTACTGTTTTATACGAGTTTCTAATTATTTTTATTACCGCTGTAGGTGCTTTTAATTCTGCTAGACATACCAATATTGTTTCGATTTATATCGAGTAACGATGTGACAAATGATTTCGCCTTCTCTTCTATTTTTCTTTCTAGCTAATATAAACACATTTTTGGGGGTCTTGTTATGCATAATATCATACCTTGGTTTTGAATGAACTGCCAAATGTTCAAAACCATTTAAGTACGACTAAACGTAGCAGAAAGTTCTTTAGAGAGATGTAAAACAATTCTTGTCAAAAGTAATGCTAAATAAATAATATAATAAAAAAGCATTAACTTACTGTTAAATAATATCTTCTCCATAAATCAGGACAAAATTTTTCCAGGTGTCCCTTCATTTTACACAGGTTACATATTATTTCTCGATATCTAAAACATCTTCTACAATAGATTGATGTGCTGTACTCCTCTTTATTTCCACACTGAAATAAAAGTGCACTAATATTAAAATAAAAATATAGCATACTAAAATATTCGACAAAAAACTCAAAGTGAGGTCATAACCAAATTAAGTTTTATTTTATATTCTTTTCACATCAACACACTTTGCAGTTAATAGACAATAGACGAAATAAATGTTATAGTTGAATCTACCTCTGCAAATTTGTGCCATACTACAAATGTCCTGTCCAGTATCTTTTACAAATGTTATGACGTTCTACACATGTACTGGAGATAATTTGTAGGGGCAACATTTTGAGGAAATTGGGAAGGTATATGAGAACAAGGGATAGTGATACGCAACGTATAGCCTCTCCTATCCAAATATCAACTTCGCCTGCCAGCGTGATGATATTGATTATGGTCATCCGGTGCATCCTGCTAGATAACAAATGAGGCTCTGACGTCCGAGTGATTGCAGGTATAAGCAATCCCCCACTTACTCACCAACGGCTTAGGGCGGATGAGTTGGTGAGTGGTAGGGCATTCTTTTGTCCTGGGGTTGAGAAATTGGCCCTGAAGGCGGATGAATCAACAAATAATGGTCAACGGTATAAGAATGCAGAAGACAAATGGGAACCACTGCATTAACGGCTCATCGAGCTCCCCCAGGAAAATCACCATAGAATTGACACTGAAATTTCAAACCGTTACTAATTATGGAAAGCGGAGGCCAAGATTCGGCAGGAGAGGAGAAACATATTTATATCACGAGGCCCCTCAGGTGGTAAACATGCGAAAACCTCGTGAAGAAATACTAAAAATAAAGAAATCTAATTTTAGAATGTGCACATAGAATGTTAGATGTCTATTTGGGCTGGGAAACTTGACAACGCAATTCAAGAAATGAAAAGAATGAAAATAGAGCTACTGGGAATCAGCGGAATGAGATGGCCAGAGTCAGGATCATGTAAAAAGGACGGAAGTGTATTATATTATTCCGATAACGGCACAGAAGACCAGCATCACAAAAATGGGGTAGGTATATTAGTAACATCAGAACTGAGTAAATATGTGACCAATTTCGTAACTGTCTCGGATAGAATAATATTACTCCAAATAAATACTCAACCATTTAAAACTAACATACTGAAACATCCAAGAACAACAGATCCAAGACATCTTACAGAAACTTAACAAACACGAAATTTTATATATTATAGGCGACTTCAATGCAAAAATTGGGGAAGGTCGACGAGGTCAGACTGTAGGTCCTTATGGTTTAGGACAACCTAACGATCGAGGACAGAGACTGTATGAATTTTGTAAAGAAAACGATATGATCATTACAAACACCTGGTATAAACTACCCAAGCGACGACTTCTTCTTCTTTCAGTGCCTATTCGTTCCGAATATTGGCAATCATTCTGGCTATAATTATTTTATTGACTGATGCTTTAAATAGATTCGTTGTTGTTGTGGAAAACCATTTCCTCAGGTTCTTCAACCATGATATTCTCCTTCTCCCAATTCCTCGCTTTCCGAATACTTTACCCTGTAGGATTACCTTCAGTAATCTGTATTTAGTGCTGTTTCTCAAGCGACGACTATACACTTGGAAAGCCCCATTTGATGATGGCAATAACCCTGAGTCTTCAAGCAATCAAATAGACTATATACTTGTAAATGAGCGTTTCCGAAATGCCGTCAAAAATCACTACATATCCTGGGGCAGATATTGGATCTGATCATCAACCACTCGTAGCAGATATTAAACTAAGGTTAAAATGAATTCAGCGATAAAAACCAAAAACCAATGTACTTATATAAACATAAAACATAACATTAAAAAAGAATTTAACAATAGAATAAAAAACATCGAAGAACAACTAGAAGATCCAGAAGAACTATGGAGTGAATTTAAAAACCAAGTTAACGAAATCTCCACAAACAATGATTATAGAAAAAACTTAATCAAGAAAAATAAATGGATGACAGACGACATCTTGAAATTAATGGAACAACGTCGACTGATAAAATCTAATGTAACAGAATATAGACACCTGCAGATAAGAATAAAAAAGGAGATCAAATTAGCCACAGAAAAATGGATGAGAGAAAGGTGCGACGAAATGGAGGATGTAATATCTAAACACGACTTATTTAATGTGCACAAAAAACTGAAAGAAATGAGTAATATATTTAAAAAACGAGTTCCCTCTGTACTTGTTGATAATAATAACAAAATTATTGTAAAAGAGCGCGAAATAAGAAATAAATGGCAGCTGTATATATCAGAGTTGTTTGAAGATGACAGGAATCATATTACCGAATTCTACCAAAACTGTACTGACGGCCCAGAAATTATGAAATGCGAAGTAGAACACGCTGTAAATAATGCTAAAATTAGAAAAGCTGGTCCAGCTGATACACCAACTGAGTTGCTGAAACTAATAAAGAATGATAACATAAAAGTAGTAGTAAGACTTTTTAATTCAATATATAACACCGGAGTGATTCCCGCAGATTGGCTCAAATCCATCTTTGTCGCAATACCTAAAAAAAACAATGCGAGAAAATGCTCGGAATATCGATTAATTAGCCTAATGAGACACACTCTTAAAATTTTCCTCAGAATACTTCACAACATAATTAGATGCAAATGCGAAGAAGATCTTGAAGATACCCAATTTGGTTTTAGAAATGCTATGGGAACTTTTTTTGCGCTTAACATTCTATTACAAAAATGCCGTGACCAAAGAAAAGATGTATTTGCATGTTTCGTGGACTTCGAAAAGGCATGCTATAAAGTACAGCATGTACAACTAATGCAAATACTGAAAAATATCGGAATAGATGATAAGGATATTCGTGTCATTAAAAATTTGTACTGGAATCAAACTGCTATCGTAAAAATTGGAGATAACTACACCGATGAAATCCCCATACAGCGAGGAGTCAGACAAGGTTGCATTTTGTCGTCAACATTTTTTAATGTTTACTCGGGCCAGTTATTTAAAAAGGCACTTCAGAGAAGAAAATATGGAATAAAAATCAACGGGGAATTACTTAATGTGATTAGATATGCAGAATATACCGTGATTCTATCAGATAATATTGAACGTCTTCAAATTCTGCTTGATCGTATTCACGAAGTAGGAGAAGAAATGGGCATTAAAATAAACTCACACAAAACCAAATTATTCCAACCAGGTCCAAGTAGATCCAGACATAGAAATAAAACGTAAAATAGCAATGACTAAAACTACTTTTATGAAAATGAAATCATTTCTTTGGAAAGAATGGTTAAGTGCTATGATTGGTCCGTACTTTTATATAGTGCAGAAGTGTGGACGCTAAAAGTATCGATCATGAACAAAATTGAAGCATTGGAAATGTGGGTACATAGACGCATGCTGGAGATACCTGGGACAGCAAGAAAAACTAATGAAGAAGTACTAAGGAGAGTCAACAAAGAATTGCTAAAGACTGTTAAACATCGAAAAATGTCTTATCTGGGACATATAGTAAGGGGAAGTCGATATAAACTTTTACAACTGATCCTTAAAGGCAAAATAGAGGACCGTAGAGGTGTAGGAAGAAAACAAGTTTCTTGGTTAAAAAACAAACGTGAATGGACTCAGATACCAAATGCAGGACAATTATTCCATATTGCAGAAGATCGAGAAGTCTTCGCAATGGTGATCGCCAACGTCGGATAATTCTGATATGGCACGCGAAGAAGAAGAATATAAGAACACAAAGGACGAGCTATGATAACAGGAACTAGGTGTTTGCCTATACCATAAGTGTACGTTCACACAGACTGCTATGGCGCAATCAGCGATGCGATGCTTTGCTATGCTATGCGTTACATAGAAAGCTATTAACTGTGGTTTTTCAATACAGTGATATGCTTGTGAGCTAGTCGCCACCGTAGTATTTTCTGTGTTCTGTGTCGAACGTGACGATGGAAAGAAAACTGGAATATATATTGGCGAAATCTGAATTGTGTTTCGAAACTATTTTACGGTTTTATTATCAGATGTCGCTATTGCGTCCATATCGAAGTAATTTTAGTGTTGCTTCTTAAAAGACAGAAAATATTGATCTTTCACGTTGAGAACACCTATGAACAACTGTTTTCATGAGACCTATTAGGTCGAAATACGTATCAACAGATTCATAGGCGCTGTTTGCGTGAAATCAAATATTTGCTGTCTTTTTCATTTTAATTATTATTTATTAACGATATTCGTTAACATTTTCATATATTATTCAGAGTTCTGTTTAAACACAGTTTTGATAACCCAAACTGAACTAATCTTTTTGGTGAAGTAATAATTTTCGGATATAATGTTTTTCCAATTACTTACAAACATCTCACATAAGCAAGAGCGTATGTAGTAACTTAATTATAAATAAACATTAATTACTATTTACTTGTCACTTCAACTTCTCTGCAACCTCAACCCATAATTTATTCATTATTGTTTATTAATTTTTCCACGTCCATATCGCTCGCTAAACGTGCGACTACTGGCGATGGAATCAAAGATTCTTAAAAACCAAACCGAAGCGCATACTAGCCGCTATTAACATCACATCACATCGCACTAAATCGCGCGCTATTTGAACAAGGCACTTAATATACAAGTGTTTGATATCATCGCATAGAGAAGCATCACATCGATGATCGCGCCATAGCCAGTCTGCGTGAAGCCAAGATGTGGGTTAATTATCAATAAGCAAAAAACAAAGTTTAAGAAAATGGGACATAATTTAAACGAAAAAACACTTTCAAAGATAAAACAGATAATAGAATAGCCGCTTATACAGAATATTGTTTTCAAAAAGTCAAGCACTTGAATATCTAGAAGTTACATAACTGATAAGGTAGACGAAGTCCAATAATATGTCAATGGTATAAAAGTTAGGATTATACCGAACTGTGATCAGTACTGAGTAGATAATAAAATTGCGCATATCCTTATGGCGGCCAACCTTTGGACCGAAGGCGATACTTAAAGAAGAAGTTCTATTGATCTGCTCACAAAATTTGATTGGAATCGTATGTACCGCTGCTGAGTTAAGATTTTCAGCTTCAGGCCCCACTTCAACTTTTAGGAAATTATTAAATTACCTTTTAGGAGTTGTATTTGCACGCCTTAAACTTAATTTTAATTGTCTCCAAATCAACTCATTAGATAGTCAGTTATCCAAGCGGGCTGGGCGGCCGGTTTCTCACTCGCTTCACTTCTAGTGGTTCAGTGGAAGTGAGGTGTACAGAAAACAAAAAAGACTAACGCAGCAGTTTAAAATTCTAAATGAATCTGCGGCTTAGACTAGAATATGCTGGTGTCTGATCGGCCTATGGTGGAGCAGTACGGCAACAAGTATCAACTCATTAAATCATTTTCCATTAAAAAACTTTGCAGTTTAGCTTTCTTTGAAGATGTATTTGGTATCTTAGTGAGCTGTCAAGAAAATATGAGTGAAACATACGCGATGTGTCGTATGCATTTAAATGCATTCGAATCTTCTTTACAGGTACTTTTACACCGACACTGGAACTTTCGAAAAAATTAGTGTTGTTATATTAAGCAATATTTTCAACCACATTGTCCCATGGCACTACTCAACATAATTAAATTACATCAAGCAACACTTTACACTGTACTAATGAACTGCTTCCCAATTGTAGCAATTTTCAGTCCCCGACTTAAGATAGAAAATAATTATATTCTGAAAATTGGTTGCATACCTAGCATACCTAGTAATTGGTGTATTCGTAACCTTCTGTAAATGATAACGAAAGAGAAGACGACGTATTTCCGGAAGAGAGATTACTTTACGACGGCTGGTGAAGTACAGAACATGGTGGTATAACAAAAAAAAATAAATAAGAATTCCGACTGTATCTTGGCCATCAGTGCCGATTATTGAAAAATAAACAAGTAATGTGCCTTACCGAATTATTTAAGCTATTCGTTATAAGATTTATTTTTGTGATTACGAATAGTTCATGAGTTGTCAGTTTTTGTGAATAATATTGGAGATATTTCAGTTATCGGCGCTTAATTCATGATAAAATATGTATCATGAAAGTAGTACAGTACATTTCGAGAGTCCATAGTGGTTCAATAGAGAGCATAGTAGATCTATCAGGTTTGTTTCTTTTGCCAAGCGACTTCTGATTAGGTATTGTCTTAGTGGATGATAGTTCGTGGGGATTGTTAGTATTCCAGAGCCAAGGTAACAGCTTTATTTACTACTTCTATACATGCGACAAAGATCAAGTCATTGAGAAACTTTTTTAACTTTATATGTAAGCTCTGCAGCTATAAAATAATTATTGTGTCAATTTTTTTAGTTAAGTATAAATAGTAAATAAATATTAAAGATCTGTTGAGCTCAGCATTCTGGTTTTAATATGACAGACAATGGTTAATAAGTAAATCTATAGTAAATTTGTTTTTGTTAAATAAATATTATGTTTTCTCGTAGGTGTCATTAGACACGCATTTGCTACACTTGCCTTCATATTAATATTTTATTTTCATATGCAACATAAAACTTACATACTGACGATATTTTTCTTTCTGTTTTAGTTCTTTCTTAGTTTTTATAATTTTGAATAAAAAATAGATGTACTACGGGGATTCCCGACACGACCCCTCCGAGTACTTTAATGAGCAACGGTGCATTATTACCCATTTGTCGGAACCTCTAGGCTGTTGCCTCTTAATTGGCACCCAAGGTTGCTGCACAACTAAAACGCTTCGCAACAGACAACCGGTTGGTTGTAAAAAGAAGGTATCAGACGTCGCAGCATTTAAAGCGTTCTACAGTATATGTTACCGCGAGTACAAAGGAATCGAAAGATTCAAAATAAAAAGAAACTATACCTGAAGGCACATCTGATTTGGACATCTAGCTTCTTGATGACCAGATTCTCCACATAATATACAAGGTGGAGGATTTGGTTTATCTGGACATCTATCACCTGTGTGACCGAAATGCCTGCATCGGTAACATCTTGGTCCAACCTTCTTTTGGTTTAAGTAACTAAATTTATCCTTTGCCAAAACCATCCATTTCTGAGGATCGTCTAAAATTTATAAATACAACACAATTAGATATATGGGTACATGCATTATTATACAGTTAGGAGTATTTTATAATATATATGTATATATATATATATATATATATATATATATATATATATATATATATATACATCCTACTATCATTTTGGCATCGATACATTATGCTTTTACCATCAATTTAGCATCGTCTTGCAAAGTAGCATCTGTATATCGACGCTACTTTACAACACCTTAATAACTTTTTTCCTGTACTTGTTACAAGAATTTTAACCATCTCAATGATTAGAGATTTGATACCTTGTTGGTATTTTAAAATGTCCGCCTTCTCTTTTTATCCCTTACTGAGTTATATAAGTTTATTCCAGGAAATGTTTGAGTCTAAAATGATGGTACAGTGAAAATATTATATATATTTAGTTCAGGGTTTTACCGTTTACTCGCTGCCATTATATACATGAAAATGTATATCGCACTTTCATTATCAATCATTTTGGCATCAGAAATTTGGCATCGCTGTTGAATATAATATTACCCACAACGAAATGGTAAATTTAAGAATTTATATATATTTTTTTCATCCATAAATCATTCTAGCATCTTGTTTGATTAAAAATAACGGATTACATATTGGGTATATATAACGGGGTATATATTGCATATTTTTGCTCCAATTGGTCCAGTCGTGATGTACAGCACCTCAAATGATAGGATTTAACCAATAAAATACAATAAGACAGAAAAGCAGCATGTCAAAAAGGCCTTAGTTATATATCTTCGTTTCTATAAGTCCAATCGTGACGTACAGTATCTCAAATGATAGGATTTAACCAATCGAAAACAATGAAATAGAAAAATCAAATACAGCAACATGTCAAAAGGGCCGTAGTCACGTATTTTTGATCCTATTAGTCCAATCGTGACGTATAGTACCTCTAATGATAAGATTTACCGTAAGGAATACAATGGGATAGAAAAATGAAATACAGCACAATGTCAAAAGGGCCTTAGTTGTGTATCTTCGGTTCTGTTAGTCCAATCATGACGTGCAGTACCTCAAATGAAAGGATTTAACAAATAAAATACAATGAGATACAATGAGGTAATGGAGTTGCATGTCAAAAGGGCCTTAGTTATGTACCTTTGGTCCTATTAGGCCAATAGTGACGTACGATATCTCAAATGATAGCACTTAACCAATCTTCTTCTTACGGTGCCTTATCCTTAAGGACGTTGGCCATTACCTTTGCCCATTTAATCTTATTTGTAGCAGTTCTGAATAGTTCTATGGAGGTCATGTTCGTCCATTGCCGTAGGTTTTTAGAAAGAGTTGCAAGAGTTTTTTTGCAAGAGTTGCGTCTTCTTCCTGGTCCTCTTTTGCTATTGACTTTGCCTTAGATTATAAGTTGGAGCAGTTCATACTTTTGACTTCTTATGATATGATCAAAATATTGTGTTTTCCGTTCTTTTATTATAAGCATAAGCTCTCTTTCCTTATTCATCCTCCGCAAGACTTCCGCATTCGTCGTATGGCTCATGTAGGATATTCTGAGCATTTTACGGTAACACCAGAGTTCGAATGCTTGGATTCTTTTTTGTGTTGCTTCTGTCATTGTCCAGGCTTTAACACCATAGAGAAAGGTGGAGCAAACATAGCACTTAAATATTCTAGTTCTCAATGAGATGCCCAGCTGGCGGTTGATAGAACTTTTTGCATTTTGTAAAACATTGTACGTGCCTTTTCCAGGCGTATTCTTATCTCTAGTGAGTGGTCCCAAGTTTCATCAAGATTACTTCCAAGGTACGTTGTTCTTGTTACTCTATCCAGATCTGTTCCGTCGACATTGACCTTCACCCTTCTGTTTTGGTGCTTGCTGATGATCGTCGTTTTTATCTTCTTTGTATTCAATTTCATTCCAAATTCTCTACAGGCTGTCGTTACTCGGTCCATTAAGCGTTGCAGGGCTTCAGCATTATTTGCCAGTATGACAGTGTCATCAGCATATCGCAGGTTATTTATACATTGGCCGTTTATAATTATACCATCCGAGGTGCCTTCCAAAGCTTTCTGAAATATCTTCTCAGAGTAAACATTGAACAGCAAAGGTGATAGGACACATCCCTGTCTTACTCCCTTCTCGATATTGATTTTTCCAGATGTTTCGCTTTTTATTCTGATTTTATCTTTTTGTTCTTAGTAGAGGTTTGAAATGATCCTTAAGTCTTTGTCGTCGATATTACATGACCTTAAAATATCTATTAGTCTATAATGTTTCACCAGGTCAAACGCCTTCTGAAAGTATATAAAACACAAGTATACATCAGAATCGACATCTCTACATCTTTCAACTAGCACACGTATTAAAAAAAGTGCTTCTCTTGTTCCGTACCCATTCTTAAAACCAAACTGAGTTTGACCAGTGTGTTCGTCTAGTTTATTGTATACTCTATTGTGTATTACTAGTAGGAAAAGTTTCAATATATGATTCATCAGGCTAATAATCCTATGGTCTTCACATTTCTTGGTGTTTTTCTTCTTTGGTAGTGGTATAAACACCGATGTCAGCCAATCATTTGGTATTATGCCTGTTTCGTATATTTTGTTAAATATATCTTCCATTACTTCGATGTGTTCGTCTAGTAATATCTTTATTATTTTAATTGTGATATTATCTTCCCCAACAGCTTTTCCGTTCTTTATCTGATTTGCCGCTTTGATAATTTCTTGCTTTGTGATATAAGGTCCAGTCGATGCCTCCTGCATGTAAATGTTCGTCCTCTCTCGGTCTTGAAACATCTCTTCCACGTATTCTCTCCATCTACCTATTTGATCTTCTCTGTTTAGTAGCGGTTTCCCATGTTTATCTTCGATGAAAGACGCAGGAGTTTGTTTAAATATTCCAGCGGCTTCTTTTACTTTTTTATGTAGATTGAAAGTATCATGTCTTTGTTCCAACTCTTCAATTTCTTGGCATCTTTCACTTAGCCGGGTTTCTTTGGCTTGTTGGATCTTTATTCTGATATTCTTGTGTATTTGCTTGTATGTTGTTTCATTTTTACCTCTGTATTTTCTTCTTTCGTCAATCATGTTAAGAATTTCTTCTGTCATCCATGGTTTGTTACTCTTGTAAGTGTTTTCTCAATATAGTGCCAGTCTTCCTCGGGAGTTTGTGTCGATTGTACTGTTCTGTTACTCAAGTGTCTATGTATTTCTTCCCGTATTTTATTACTAGTGGATTCTTCTTTAAGCTTATCTGGGTTAATAGCTATTATTTGCTTATTTATTTTTGTTCTTTTAAATTCTATCCTAATTGTTGTAAGAAGAAGATTGTGGTCGGTGGGGATGTCCCTAGTATTTTTAAAATATACCAACCAGATAATAATAATCAAGCAATAGAACACTGAAAACTTTTGTTTTTAACTGTCCGCCCGTGAATGACTTGCCGTTTTTTAAATAACACTTCATATTGCACTTTTTTATTGTATTTTTCTCATTTTTTAAGATAATTCTTGTAGGAATATATTTATTTATAACATACGGTCTTATGGTCTCACGACAAGTATTACGGCTTGATTATACAACCTAAATATATCTTGTACCGCACTGTTAATTGAGAATTATGTTTGTAATGCGATAAGAGGACCGTATATACGAGACACCAGTGACTTATGCCACACATAAAACTTCGACAGGAAATTCTATTTCTACATTTCTATAAAAAAAATAGATTACTTGTTTTGTGTAATAATTTAGTTTAGGTCGAACAAGAGTTGCAGTAAAAAATTTTTCTGAAATAGAATTTAAATCATATTTCGAATGCTTTGTGAAAGATAACCAATTTATAATATTCCCGACAACGTAAAAACACATTTCTTTTAGAATATGAATTCAAATTCGATTAGTCGATGAATTCAAATCATAGTTCAAGAAACGAATTTATGTGCAGATGTCTATTACAAAAAATTCAAAACCAAAATCTAGATTAAAAAAGTCGCAACTACTTATACTGAAACTTCACCCCATTATTGATTTCACAAGTGATAAAATGGGTCGACAAAGAACCAGTTTTAATTATTACAACATTTAAACATAATAGCTGTATCTTGTTTTATTCAGGTGGAAAGAAAAATTAGACACAAGTGCTAAAACCACAAACTATTCTAGATTATAACGTTGTGAAAAAAGAGTTGATTTTAGCGATCAAATGGCTTTTTACAAAAGCCCAATACGCAAAATACTAAAGTGGTACCGGAAAGTGGCAGTGGAATTAATATTTAATACCGCAGTAGTCAATACTTAGTTGCTAAATAATAGAAAACGCGAAAAAAGCGACAACCTATTCTTGAGTTCAGACTGGAATTAGCGAAGGCGTTTGCAAATAAAGAAATGTTGAAACCCTGATGACTAATTACACCCAAAAAATACCATCTCAGGCAAAGCGATGTAGATAATAAAAAGAGAAGGAAGTGTACAAGAGGTTACAAAATTTTAAGAATAAGCGTGACTAGTAGAAAGGCCGATAGAAAAATTAAAAAAATTAAAACATACTGTGAAGAATGTGATAGCAAAACTGCAATATGTCTAGTGTGCTTCAATGAAGCACATTAAAAAGCAATTTTACTTATACATGAACTATTATTGAGTAAAAACGTGTTGTGCCTCAAGTGTCCTTATAGTATTGGAAAACGTAAATTGATAGTTTCTAGTAGTATGTTTTCATTGTTAATTACGTATGTTAAAGTAAGTTATAGTATTTGTAAAAAAATGGATGTAAATAATATTATGTGTTCGACGTCTAAAAAAGCTAGACGTAAACATAAACGTAGATTGACCACTGCCGAATTACAATCATTTTTAGAAGCATCTGGCGAGGATGATGTAGGTTAAATGAATGGTGGAAGTGACTCTGACGAAATATTTGCACAAAGTCGTTTAGAAAAATCGAGGATTGCGTTTTGGAAACAGACAACACAAACAGAATTAAAACTTTTCTCGGGGTTA